ATATAATAATAATAATAATAATAATAATAATAATAATAATAATAATAATATTCTCTACTCCCTGACGTGGCAGCTTCTGGTGGGTATAGGTATTTTTATTTATTTATTTTAAAGAGAGGAGCATTTGAGCATGGAAGCTCTTACTTGCAGGTAGGAGACCTGCCACCTTAATAGAGTTAATTGCAGGTGTTCTTTTGCCATCACTTACCTTCACTAACCTTGCCTTCACTTCATTTATTTTGAAATAGAGGAAACTGCATGCACTAATAACTCTCCAGGACCAAGAAATTCCTTTTCCGTAATCTGCTCCCAGACAGAACTTGTACTGTAGTTCCTGAGTGCTAGCACATAACTCCACGTTTGGCTAGATAATGCCACGTTTGGGTCATGCAGTAAGAGGGCATCGGAGCCAAGGCAATTTCTTGGACTAGGTCCTCTAGATGTCTTTACCCATTCTGAATTTTTCTCCTCCTCATTTCAGGGTAGCCAAGGGTTGCCTGGGATCACAGGATTACGAGGAAAGCCAGGCCCAATGGTAAGTAATTGCCCGAGTTCCTGCATGAAGCACATTGTATTGTTTAGATCAAGGAGGAGAAAACTGTGGTCCTTCAGATCTTACTTGGATACAACTCCTGTCAACCATCAGCACAGCCAATGGTGAGGGAAGTTGTCATTCAACACCGAAACAGGAAGTCCTGGGGGAAACCTTTCCCACTTTTAAAAATCAGTTGTCTCCGTGGTCACACATGTGTTTGTTTTCTGCAGGGAAAGGTTGGTGACAAAGGTCCAGTTGGAATTCCAGGGCCACCTGGCCCAGAGGTAGGTTGTGGCTCCAACTTGGCTTCTTCCTTTGTATTATTTAGAGAGGTGCAAAATATTTCAAAGCTGAAATATTCCATACTCAGAATATGCCATTCCTTTATCGGAAGGAGCCATTCCAAGGGTACTGAAGGTAGTATGATTTGAAATGTTTACACAACATTCCTCCTCTTCCTCTCAAAACATTTCTTCTTTACCACCTTTCTCTTCCATCTGTGAGGCACCTAAATAAAAAAAGCTTCATTTCTAAAACTCTAAGTTAACCTTGGGACCCATTTGGGTTCGCTGAGCACACCCTTTAAATAACCCCTTCCTTTCCACTCTTCCGTGCAGAGACTCAGCATCGCTGTTGCACGTCTGGGTCCAGACAAAAGCAAGTGGAAATTATGGTGATGTTGGAAGCCTTCCTAGACTGGCCTAACCCATCATGCTAATTGCATGCAGTTCTTTAAGTTTGGGACTTAGCGACTTGTGGAAAGACAGCCAGTTGTGGCTTATTCAGCAAAAATATGATGAAAACCATGTCTTAATGCAATTGATGGATCCAGTAAGTCCAGGCCACGGTGGTGACTCTCCAAGAGTGCTTCATATGGTTGTGTCAAGGGTATTTTATTCACTGGTAAAATCCCTAAAATGTCCTAATGTTCTCTCTAGGTCAGTTCCTGGCAGCAACTCCCAGTGGGGTGGGGAAAACTGGAGATCTGACAATATCTAGAACAGATGGGCAAATGATCCGACTCTACAGACAGCAGTTTCCAAGAATAATGTTTTGTGAATACCGAATTCCATCAGAGGAAAGCCAGGGCTATTTCAGTTCTTGGACCCTGTCATGATGGTTAAAGTAACATCCTATAAATTTGACAAGAGAGGATAGGGAGAAAAATGGGAGAAAGAATCAGTTTGTCTCCATCAGTTACACACAGCAAAACCCATTTGTATTCTAGTCAAAATAAGAGTTTTAAGAACTCACGATGAGATTCTGGAATGAGTTGCAATGAATGAGTGATAACTTCTGGCACACCATTTTACTGCTTTCCCTTTCTTTCTTTCTGCTTATCTATCAGTCTGTCTAATAACTGCAAAAGATCGGGGTAACGTTAAATAAAAAGTTAGTTTTGTTAAAAAAAAACACCATCCCTCTTTCTTCTGACAAAAGAACCAGATCATTCTTATTTCTGATAGGATCATTTAATTAACCTGGGAGTTTCCTATTTTGCTGGCTAGATAGTGACGGACGTGAGAGATAGGAAGAATCCTTGTGGTCTGGATTTAACTATATAAATACGTTTTTATTAATGGTGCAACAAAAGAGGACATTTGCTGAATTGACCATATACTCCAACGTAGACGTGTGTCTGGTTTAAAGTATTCTCTGTCGCTTTCTAGTTTTATTTGCAAATAAATGTGCAACTGAGATTTCTGCTCCCCAAATTCTTGGCCAGTATAATTTCTGGCACTGTTGAAAAATCTGAAGGGCCAGGTTAGCGATAGATTGTCATGGAATAAATCTATCTATGTGGTCGTTAAGAGCTGACAATGACTTGATGGCATATAATCAATCAATCAGTGGTTATCTGCTGGAAATACGGGACATCTGAAGGTAGCCATTGGGGATGGTTATAAAAACTCTGGAACTTAGATTCAACCAATGGCCTAAGGGAACTGCATAACTGATATAAGGAACTCCCAACCTAGAAGTGGTGGTTTCATGACTTTCTAATTGATGGAGCATTACATTGGCCAAATGCTGTGAGCTGTGAGAACATAGTCAAGGGGGCTTCAAACTTTTTCCAGCCATGGAAGCTGTCAGTTAAAAAAGAATAATTCCTGGAGCTGCTGATCAAGAAGCAAAGCTCTAGTGATAGAAAATTGACTATGTTGAGCAAACTCTGTTATGCCCCATGAGCTTCTCATGGAGCCCTAGGTTCAGCAGAACTGAGTTTGAACAGCTCTTGGAGGGAAGAGGCCAAAGACGAGGGACAAGGGCTCTTGGAGTTCTAGAAGAAGAAAGGTGACCCAGCCCAGCCTGGCTTCTCTTCAGTTCCTAAAGAAAGATGCGTGTCTAGTTTGCAAAATTGTTGAAGATGGTCTTCTTCCTCACTTTCCACATCCTCCACCAGAGTTCTAGTACTTTCCTAAGGCCTGGAACAGCTCTTGGTTGGATTGCCTTTACTTAGTCATCTTTCTTCTTTGTTAGTCTTGGACTGGACTGTGTCTCCCTTTGTTTCTTTAGCTGAATGGATTGTGGGCGGAAAGAATGGGTAAGCGTCCAACGTCAAATTGCTCAGGATAAGCAGCATGTCGTCACCTTTCTCTTCTTCACGCCAGGCTTGCTTCCCCCTTCTATTGGGCTTCCCGAGTCCTGATTTATTTCCCCGAGAAAAAGGCGGTAAAGAGGCTGTCTCAGAATTCATGGAGAACCACGTTGGGCTAGAGCGCAACATTTGCTGACCCCAAGGATGTCCTTGGCTGGAGGGCAAAAAAAATTGGAATCCATGGCACCTCATTTTCCTGCAACAATCTTCTCCAGCTTTTCCCTTTAGGTCCCTCCCCATCAGTTCATATCGCAGTTAAGCCAAACTACAATGGTAACGCAATTAAAGTCTTATCTGGTTCTGCCTCAGCTTGTCCAGATTTTTGTTTTGTATGGTTCTTTCCCTGTATGCAGCAGAGATCTGCCTTGGGTGTCCTTTGTGAATTCTTGTGAATGCCAACAGCAGCAAAGCAATCAATAAGACTGTCCCAGTGAGATGCATGAGACGACAATTATTTTGACAGAATCTGGAGAGATTGGAATTCTCTCATGCTATATATAGTGGCCCTGATTCAGATGTGCTATTAAGTCAGTGGTGACTCTTCCACACCTCATAGATCTTCTCCAGGACAGTCTGCCCCCAACCTGGTCCTTCAGATCTCCCAACAGTGCACCTATTGCTGCAATAATTGAGTCCATCTACCTTGCTGTTGGTCGTCCTCTTCTTCTCTTCCCTTCTACCTTTCCCAGCATTATAGACTTCTCCAGAGAACTAGGTCTTCACATAATCTGTTCAAAATAGGGTCCTTTGAGCCTCAAAAGATCTTATTTACAGTAAGTAACAAAGAAGTTGAGGAGACCACAAATGCTTTCTATGCCATTTAGTTCACCCAGGATTGGACAGCTCCTGAAACAGAAGATAGTCCTTTACAAAGTTGGGTGTGGGGCCAACTGAATGTGATTGTCCCGGGCTGGTCATTCTGCCCATTGCTAGGGGGCAGCAGAAGATGAGAATCCAGAGACAGGAAATGCAGTAGGAGGAGAGTGTGTGAAATGCCCCACATCTGCATTTTCCTTTGACCCTTTAATCGGCAGCCTTAAATCTGCTTGAGTGAATTCCCTCTTGGAAACAGGTTGTGCCTCATGCAAGGAGCCAAATCATCCTGGCTCAGTTTAGGCCCGAGAGCTGAATATGGTGCTAATTAAGCCTTTGACCAAAATAAAACAACAATCGAAGCTTAGACGTTTGGTGGGCCCCCGAAACTTTGCAGGCAACCGTCTCTCTCTCCCTCCAAAGATTTGGCACCGGACGCCTGCCTTGTCACTTACGCTCCTCTCCGTTTGATGTTCTCCAGGGCTTCCCAGGCAGCATCGGGCCCCCAGGAGAAAACGGCCCCGAAGGTATTAAGGTGAGGGGTGCTGCACAGAGATGGCTTTGGGTTGGTGGGGCAGCCGTGAATAAAAGGTGTGAAGGAACCTGGGAAGGGAGGGACAGAGAGAAACCCTGGAGATCCTTGCAGATAATTCTGGCCCAAATGCCGGCTTTAAGACTCCATTGGGGTTGCAGCGCTTCCAAGAATTGGAGTTGCTTTCTCTGTTCTTTTTTTCTTTTATTATTCTCCCCCTCGTCCCTCACCCATCATAGCCCGTCTGCCTCTCTGTGTGGCTGAGCCTTTTGTCCTTCTGGCCTGTTTCAGGGAAAGCCTGGCGCAAGGGGCTTGCCTGGTCCCAGAGGAACGCCTGGCCAAGAGGTGAGAGACGGGCAAGGGGGGCCAAAGATGGAGGCCAGGTTGAAGCAGGCACCTGGGTTGCTGCTCCCCCAACAAGTATCTTTTTAAAAAAAAAATAGAGGCTTTCAAAGATTAATTTCCAATAAGGCATTGCATGACTCAGTTGCAGATTAAGTCTGTCCATGAGCGGATTAAAAAGGGATGGGACGGTGTTCTTTCTCCTGACTGGGCAAAAGCTTTGATTTAAATGTCTTCCTTCCTTCCTTCCTTCCTTCCTTCCTTCCTTCCTTCCTTCCTTCCTTCCTTCCTTCCTTCCTTC